CCCCCCCCCCCCCCCCATTGCCCATGTTACTCATGTAATTGTGTAATATTGATTTAGGGTTCCAGAAAATTCCTTCAACAAAAGACACGGCAGATAAATTGAAGAAAAACCTCATTCGTCCAGGTCAGCGTAAAGGCATAAAGGAAGATACAGTAATAGTGATGGACGGTTCTGGATCTGTTGGCTCCTGTCAGTTCAACAAAGGAAAACTGGCCTTGGCAAACTTGGTTAGGATTGGCAATGATGGTGGACACGATGCAAAATTTGCTTGCGTGACATTTTCCTCTGGTGCAAGCACAAATTTCAAATTTCTCTCCCCCACCTCGGCAGCTGCAAAGATTAGAAGTATATATTACCCAAGTGGAGGCACCAACACACAGATGGGTCTCGCATACGCCCGAACATTGATGAAAGGATTGAAAGGTAATGTGTATTACAGTAGAAACATTTAAATTTAGACATGATTTGCTACTCTGGTTGACACAAATGAATGTATTTCCGCATCAAATTATAGTCACAACCCACTTTTCTCTACTCTTTATTCTACTAGCAGAAATAGTAATTAAGTTTTCGCGCCTTTTGAGGTTGTCACATTTTAAACGTATTCAATCCACATTTTGCGTTTTCTATTAACGTTTCGTAATTCTTGCATGCAGTCCTAAACATAAACCAAACCTTAATCCTAACCCTTGCCTAATCCTTATCCAGTAAGCAAAAACTGCGCATGTGCATAGTGCACACTTAAATACAATGACGTGTGCACTCTCAGTCCAATGACAGACACTTATATTACAATGATAGCAATGAAGATAATAATTATGATCATGATATAATATGTTGTTGACAATGTACTATAAATTATAAAAGATTGTACAGAAAGTATAGTAAATGTAGCTAAACACTATGTTGCTTAGGACAGTTACTAGGACGGTATAATTATATGAAAAATTGAATTTTATTAGAAATTAAATATTGACGGAAAAATTATATTGTATTTCATAGGTAGCATATAGAAATAGAAGAGCTTCAATGCATGAATGCTATTAAAACAACGATGATTTAATTATTTAAATTATTATTACTGACCAACTGGATATTTTGCTCTTTAGCAAGTCGTCGTTTTTCTCGCAAGTTGGTGTTTCTGGTCACTGATGGGCAATCAAACATTGGCAAACATTTAACAGTTCCTAATGCCAAGGCACTGAAAGATGACAACGTTGAAATTTTTGTGGTGGCTGTTGGAAGCTACATCAGTGGCATTGATGAGATGGTGAGGGTTGCGTCGTATCCACCAGAGAAGCATATGTTCCGTGTGCAGAAATATGAAAATTTTTGGGATGTTGTTAAATTGGTTGTAAAAGAAGTTTCTCCTGGCAAGTATAAAGCCTTACATGGGCAGCAAAACAGGTCATGTTGAATATGAAAAAGCCGGTACCTGGATAATGGACACTCCTCTTTATTTAACTAAGTTTAACTAAGCAGTCTACTCCTCATTAATTAGTTGTAGTTTATGTTGACGATAGTTTGATGAACGACGATAGTTGATAAAGTTGACTTTACTTGAGGAGAAATTATTAAAATGGATGCATTTATATGATGAAGTGTTTTTTATTATTTGTTAACATGTTTTGAGTGCATTTTGAAAGTGATGTTATAAAAAAAATACAATAGTAGCTATTACTCGTATGACCTTAAAATCGCAATAAAATGGAATAGCAAAAAATTGTTATTAAAAAAATGTCAGAAATATTTAAAGTGCATATGACATGAAATTTCTTATTTTCTTAAATGGAAGAACTCTTTAAGCTGTAGTGTAACTTATTTTTCAGTTTCTTGTTTTTATGGTTTGTTCCCGAGATATTTCAATTTGTTTGATATGTAAATCAGTGTGAATATGTCCACTAATTTATGACGTCACGTTGGTTGCAAGCTCAACTTACACTGGTTATAAATCTATTAACTCTACAAACTGTAGATATCAGCTCACGTTTTTCACCAGTGTTTCATCACATTTACCAGTGAGTTAAGTTTGAAATTATCATCTTGGATGATAGCAGTGATATTCAACCATTTTGAAGAGCTTGCAACTAACATGACGTCATAAATTAGCGGACATATTCACACTCATTTACATGTCAAACTAATTGAAATATCTCGGGAACAAACCATAAAAACAAGGAACTGAAATGTAAGTTACACTACAGCTTAAGAGTTCTTTCATTTAAGAAAATAATAAATTTCATGTCATATGCACTTTAAGGTTATCAGCTCTCAAACTTTTCAGGGGATATATAATCTCCCATGAGCCTACACTAGCTTACCCTGGTTCGAGAGGCTCTTTGCGAGGGCGAAAGAAACGAGAGGCGAGAACGGAGAGCCTCTGGTCACATCGATTGCAAATCCCACTTCCACACTTGATTAGATTCATATTTGTCAAACCGGTTTGACATATTTTTACAAATTGAACAAATGGCCAATCACATGCGAGATTCAAATTCTGAACCTAATCAAGTGTGGAAGTGGGATTTGCAACTGATGTGACCAGAGGCTCTTCCTTCTCGATCGCCTCTCATTTCTTTCGCCTCGCAAAGAGCCTCTGGAACCAGGGTACCTAGTACACCCCTGTTAATTCTTCGATTTACCTTTTTGCATGCAAATGTCATGTTATTAGCAGATTTTCACCTCAATACTTGTGCATATAACAAGCAGGTTCCTTGGTATGGCGAAACGACAGGAAAGAGAATTTCGCGAGATTTTCAAAATTTTAAAAAGGTTTAAAAAAAAGTTTTAAAAAAGCAAAAAAAAGTTTAATTAAAAGGTTAGATTTTCAAAAAGGTTTAAAAAAGTTAGATTCGGGTTAGGGGTTAGTGGTTAGGGGTTAGTGGTTAGGGGTTAGTGGTTAGGGGTTAGTGGTTAGGGGTTAGTGGTTAGGGGTTAGTGGTTAGGGGTTAGGGGTTAGTGGTTAGTGGTTAGTGGTTAGTGGTTAGGGGTTAGTAGTTAGGGGTTTGGGGGGTAGTGATTAGTGTTTAGGGGTTAATGGTTAGGAGTTAGTGGTTAGCGGTTAGGGGTTAGGTGCCGCGAATTTATCATAATGATAAATTCGGACGTGTTTAAGAATTTACTGATATAGTAAATTCAAAGGTGGAACTCATGCTGCTGCAGTGATGGCGCTACTGTACTCTATAATTTGCAGACATAACTCATGATCACAATTGATAAAATCGAGGATAAAGATGTGATTGTTTGATTTGTTGAACAAACTATTTTCACTTTACATACTAAAATTATAGCTTCTATACTCAGGGCCGCAGAGAGGTTGGCGGGGGCCCGGGGCAAATATTTTTTTGGGGGCCCCTATCCCAAAAAATCCCCCCCCCCCGTCGCCAAAAAATTTTCGGTCAGTTTACCATTTTAGGGGTAAAAAAATTTTTCCGGACTAAAACATTTTTCCGGACGAGTGCGTTCCTATTGCTTTCCAGTGACTTTATCTCATTTTTTAATGCCAAATTTCGGTACTTAGCTCAAGAAAACAAATATCATGTCCTTTGCGCGGAAATATTTAACACACAAAAAGACTGGGGCCTAACAAAAATTTTTCAGGGGCCCCCAGGACCTCGGGGCCCAGGGCAATTTGCCTCCCCCCCCTGCCCCCCCCCCTCTAGGCGGCCCTGTCTATACTCGCATATCCTTGCTAGTTTTACAATAAACTGTAAAACGCTGTGTATAAGTACGTTTCATTTTATTGAAATACTGCTTTTCGCGGCTGTCTCTCTCCAAAAGGAATGCCGGCGGTACGCGGGTACGGTTAAATTTAAATTGGTTTATGAAAACATCGGGTTTTTAGTTCGGTTTATCGATTAACCCCCTCACCAACTGCACTCACAAACTAACTTTATGGTGACCATGACTATCGCGTTCGTTGGCATGCCGCCCCTCCACCCTAGAAATGATTTATGTGGGTCTGTAACACTTTTTATATCACATTTGTGTCGGTTTTCTTTGATCGTCCGAGGTTTATAACTAGCTAATATACCTTGAATAAATAGTTACATCAAACTTTTCTACAAAACGCAAGAATTTTTCATAAAAAATTTTTGAAAATGACAAAATATGTTAGAAAACCTCCACAGAGGGTCCTGAAGGGGGGTCCCAATCCCATTTCCCACCTGAAATTTTGACAAAATCCCAGTCCCAGTTGGATATTTTTATTAGAAATCCCAGTCCGAGTTATTGAAATCCCAGTCAATAAAAACCCCTTTATTTATCGGTACAATAAACAGTTTTAAGCCACCGTGTGTGCAAGTGGCGAACACTTTATGAAATATTGGGGGAGGTTCGTGCCGAAGGCACGGAAAATTTTTAAATTTGAATCCCGGAAATGGCATTTGCAGCATTCTGAGACATGCATAATCAGAAAACCCAGAATTTCGGGCGCCAGAGTATGCCTGTTCTCAGGTAGTGCTGTGAATAATATAGTTAACAACAAAAATCATGACCAAAGACACCAAAAACGGATCAAAATTGTTTTTTAAAATACTTAAAACGTAGAAAAATTGGGAATCGACTGGCATTACCTCAATCCCATTCCCATTTTTGAGGACTTCATTTCCCATTCGCAGTGGCCAAATCCCAGTCCCAGCAACCCAAATCCCATTTTCCCAGTCTAAAAATAGATCAATCCCAGTTCCTATTTTACCCCTTCAGGGCCCTCTCCACAACCTCGGGGGCAATATATCAGTTATAAACCTCCTTCTCGGTTTATAAATCTAACTTATTGCATGAGAAGTAGAAAGGGCTATACTTCCCTCGCCACAACCTTTTCTCCTCGAAATTCAAAAGTAGTTTTAGCGAAAGGTGGGGGAAGGGTCCAGACGGCTTCATTGCTGATTTTGCCATTACTCTTTCCAACTCATGCACAGTGTGCACCTTTTACTTCAGTGAGACTTCATGTAAAGTTTTTTGAAACCGCACAACATTTTCAATTTACGGCACGAGTTTGAGTCATCCTGCATGGGAGGTCGTTAATTAAGTAACAAGAAGAGTCATTATGATAAACAGGTTGATCTGCTGTTAATTAATGGTTAATTGGAGAAACGTGCTCTCGCAATAATGTAACGATGGACAGATTCTTAATGAAATCATTATCTATATTATCGATTGGCAGTGACTTTGCTTAAAATATACCTCGTGTGTTCATCAGACAAATCCAGAACTTTTAATTACGTGAAATTAAATTCCGGAAGACAATGATAAAATAGCTATCATTTTGCTGCCATTCCAGCGATTGGAATGTCCCATTGTATATCGATCTGTTGACTATTCCGTATACTTTTAATTATAACTCTATGGCTATGAAATGTGTCTGTATGAAGATATAACTTGTATCCTCTTGTATAAAATTCCGCTAATTACCATCGCACACGAATGAAATTACATATTTAATTTGTTTTTTGATTTGTTATTGTCATAACAAAATTACTGAATTCGCAGTGATTGAGCGTGACAACTATTAAAAGCCCGTTTCAACTAATCGAATTTGTACGCGCGAAGCGAAACAAAAAATTGTAGTTGTAGTCCGCTACAGTAGCGAATTTTCAAGTAGCGAGTAGTTTTCGACTACTTTTTTAAATAGCAATTGTAGCTGTATAGCGATTAGCGCACTAGTACATTTTTTCAGTAGCGAAGACGAAGTAATCAGTGATTACTTTTCAAGCAACAATCGCTATTTGCTACGTACGTTTCAAATTTTTCGTCAATCGACTGGACGCATAAACAAAATATGATATCACACCAAGTCCCACTGCCAGCTAGAGTGTGCAAATTTTTTTGACCTCTTAGTCCACCACCAAGACCTCAGAGTTTCATAAGGCTTTCTTACCGCATTCATGCTAGTGCTCAGTCCCCCTAACTTTGTTGTAACACTGTATAATAATGCGACTAGCCAGTGAACAGCTAGCTGAGTTCTCCGATAGCTCGTCTGAGGTTGTGTCCATACACAACGACAGACCATCCTTCAACACGACCTGGATAATTCGTCTTGACAAATGACCCACGTGCCGCGTTTATGTCAGTGACGGTGGTTGATATACTACCTTTCTTTTGCTCAAGTTTGTGCCAAAATTTTCAGTACTCAATAAGCTTTGCCTATATGGCTATGCCTATGGCCAACGAATAGAGAATGCTACTGTATAGTACGTATATATACGTGGTCTTCGCCGCATTACTCATTAGGTTTATTTGACACCTTTCTTGCCATTCAAATTACAAATTAGAAGAGCATATGACATCAATGTAAATTGTAAATATGGCCTGCATTAGCAGGATAGTTTGTTGCATGTAGGGAAGTAGGGAATAGTTAATCCTAAACAGTCAGTATAGCGAACTACATTTTTTGTCAAGGTTGTATAGCTGCCTTCATTTTTTCGAAGTAGTTGTAGCGAACTACAAACATTTTGTAGTCAACCCGGCCACCCTTGATGATTGTTTAGCGAAAAAATACGGCGAATTATTTTGCTAACCAATCACATTATCGAAAAATTTCGCGTAGATAATAGTATAAGAAGGGCCTAAAATGAATTTGAACGAAAATTTCAAAAAGGCGATTCAACTGCATGAGTATGAAATGCACGGCACGGGCCGCACGGCGTTTTCTTTTCTGGAGCATATTTCGTTGTCTCGATCTCGTTAATTAATAATTCATGAGACATGAGGAAATTAGCCAACCATGCATATCGATACTAACATATACTTCTTCAGATTCCAGCAAGGTTTGCCTTGAATTTGAACAAAACTACTCGGACTTGAAATCGTGTCCATGCAGTTGAAATATTACTATAAATGTTTTGAAATGGACAGATAGTAAACAAAATTATTGTTCTTTTGTTTGTCTATTTGTTTTTCTGTTTTCAGACCAGAAAACAACTCCTTTTGGAGAAGAATGTAGTAATAAACAAGTAATTAATATGGGATCTTTAATTTCTCGTGCAATTAATAAGGATTTACATGCAGAAGTATAGCTGCTCGTTAATTAAAAAAAACGTCAAGTTGTGTGCCTTCCAAAAGGATGTCATATATGGCTTTATATCAATTTAAGGCGACTAAACACAGATGAATTTGAGAAGGAATTAGAATGAAATTAAAATTTTCAACCTCCTTAAAAGGCTTAATAAAAAGCAATTCTTATAGTCATGCGGTTTAGAACTATTTTATCCATTTCATGCAGTATACTGCGTATAGGATATAGGAAAGATCTGTTGACTGTCAATCATGCACTCTCTTTGACCATATGCTTCCTATATTCTAGTAAACAATTAAAACAGCATGGATTCGAAATAGTGCCGAGGGTTATATGAAAGGGGAGGGCGGTCAATATCCTAAAGAACTTGTTTTTAGCGCCATCTTGTCTACCATCAGAAATGAATGTTGATAAAGAGTAAGAAGCACGAGAGGCATGCTTGGATGAAAATTACACTGCAGATAAGAGATGAGACAATAAATAAGATAAAACAATACTTTCTAATTAGCATCATAAGCTAGCGAAATGGTTATGAATCAATACGACAATTAATGTCATGACATATTTATAGTGGACTATCGAGTAGCTCTCGATCGGTTTTTTTACACTAAATACCGTGTACACATTTTAACTGCTAATGACATTTTGCGTCGTAATGATTTTGTTTTTTAATTGTTTTTCGTTGCTCTAAGCTGCCTGTAATCTTTTTCTGGTGACCCGAATAATCGGTCCCATGCATGGCTGATCAATTTATACCATATAGTCTATCAAGATATGACGGTCTGGAAACTAAACAGAAGTCACTATGTTATGTTTTTGTTTGAGTTTATCTTAATTTATGCACAGAACTCATTGTATTCTCGTATAGTGAACTAATCGTCAAATATAGGAATATTATATAGCTGAGGTGAAACGTGTAACCACGATGAATAATATTATGATTATTAAGTTGATACAAATTACAAAACATTTGTGCACGGTGAGGTTCAGTTGAACATCAAACAAAGATCTTTGAAGTTTGCCGGGCGTCCAAAAATATATAATCACAGACTATGGTTAAACTCCTGAGGCAGCCATAGATTTATTAAAGAGTGATCCAGCAATACATGCAGGATGGAGTGGACGACAATTGAGTATAGCTGTGTCTATGCAACAGCCTAGTTTTTGTTCGTTTTGTATACCTCGTACATTGATAATATACCAGTTTCATAATTCAGATGATTATGTGCATCTTATAATAAGCCTTCTTAGCGTCGTTCATGCAGGTTTGAAAAATATACATTCAATTTCAGTCACAGAAATGAGGCCAAGATTCAAGAAGGCTTATTGTGAAAGTGGCCAATATGCATGTACAACAGACAGGCCATCTTGTATCAGAATAGATATGTCTGATATGACACATGTATACAAACGCGAATATAGCTTGTGAAACGTAAAAGATTTTAAACAGTTGTGTTTTAAGAAAAAACTATTAAAAAATAAGTGGTTTTATTAACCTTATTAAACATTAATTTAATTATTTTGAATTTTCTTCATGACTATTATTTTAATGCGTTTTACAGAGAATGCTATTTTACTTGCTCATGCATGCATGACTAGTAAATCTATAACATTTTTGCTTGACAAAATACAAGTATAATAATTATATAAACAGTTCTAGGGTAAAATTTGATCCGTGTCAAGCTATAGACGTATTTTGCAACCCACGGACACGGTTGTTCATGTCCTATAGTATAATTATACAGTAAATTTCAACATACTATGAGGAAAATTATATGCACGTGGTCAACGTGGAAATGAAAAAGTATATTGTTACTTGTATAAAGTGAAAGTAACAAAATTCCAGTAGACATTATTAATTAAAAGGCCCTGTATGACAGATAAGGTTTACTTTTTCTGGCAATATTTTTCTCTGTATATCATTTATCTTTTATAAATATGTGTTTATTAGAGAGCATGTTGACGCAAGTCAGGTCTATATACTTATCACCAAGGTTAAAACAGCTGGAAAAATAATGGCGAAACTTTGATAAACTATTTTTTGTCACCTCTATCTTTGACATGAAAAATACATCAGTCAAGTCACATCATCACCGAACTAAAAATTCTGCTCGCACGTTTTACTCTTATTTTACTTTAGGTAAAAAGATACGAAGTAAATCTAAATCATCTAGGGTAGTTGATATCCAGAAGGTGTTTGCTTTTTGTTTATTTTCAATTTTTACCTATACAGAAGTACAGTACTATTATTAAAATTCATTTTTATGGTTTACACGGTGGCCCAACAATGCATTCTTTTTCTGATAAGTAGTGATAGCAAGTATTTATGGTAATTATAGTTTTGACTCTCGGTTATGGCGAAAGTGTTCCTCGAGCTTTTGATTAAAACGCTGATGGAATTGTAAAATGTTTATTGGATATTTTGGGTAAGCACATTAGCATATTTTGAAAACAGAGTAATAATGGCATATTAACAAGGCGTTTACAGATGTTTAAAGCACGTATGCTTGTTTATTTAAGAACATGCTCAAATGTTGATATCAACTATAAAGATATAAATGTATGTGCATGTAACGCAACTTCATTTGTTAGAAACAGTAGGAAAATAGTATTCTCTTACTAATGTTAAGTAGCATTCAATAGCAATTTTTATTACCAGTATTTATGAGAATTAGGAATACGTATAATAAAGATATCATGATAGGTGTCATAGTCAAGACGATTATTATCATGATTGAAATCTAACTCTATTTTGTCATTAACGTAAGTCTTTAAAAGTTATAATAGACATGAACTGGAAGGTGTGCGTTATAAGACAGTTTAGGTATGGTTTGTCAACACCATGTTAACAGTCAATCTAGTAGCTTGCTTCGTTAACCGGCTGAGATTACTTGAGGAAAAATTAGGTGGACACCAGAGTGTGAACATTTTGTGGTGGTTTTATGGAAAAAGACACTCAGTATTCAGGCTTTCCCAGAGAGTCTACAGCTAGAGAAGAAGTAGTATCCTCCTGCCAATGTCCAACAACTTTACAATGGACAACATCGAGTTATAGAGCACCGGAGACTGCGTGGTCATCGTCACCATTCAGTTATACACCAAATAACCAGCCATGTTTGTGTCTTCGATACAGAAATATGGAATGTGGCACTAGAAGGATAAAAATTGGCTCAAGTTTCGACTCAAACGAAGAGCCACCTAAACAACAAGAATCAAGTTTATCAATTAGTAAAAATTTAAAGTTTGGAATCGAGAGAATTTTAACTCCGAGTTGTAAGGAAGAGAACAGTTCGGGTATGTAATCTTAAATATGAAAATTAAATTTAGCTCTATAACGAGAGAGATTCCATGTATATAGGCCTAAGGTTCGTATATACAAACAAGGTTTACATATAGTGTGCATTTATATTTTTCTTAAAGAACGATAATAGAAGAATAAAAAATTGAACGTGAAATATGTCATATATACTGAATATTGAGATGAGTAAAAAATCAGTAAAATACCATGCGACATTAAAAAGTGGTATTTTCATTCTTTGGTAATCTATAGAAACCCTGAATTGAAATGTATAAGGATGAACATCTATTACATATCTATAAACTCGCGGTATAGCTAGCCTATGTCAGAATACTGAGTTTAAGCCAAAATTTAAACTAAGTTAAAATTAAAACATTAAAGATTAAAACCTAAGAATGTTCATTAAAAATTGAAAAGCACTACAGTTCTGTTTTGAGAGGCCCTTTCTAGATCCTCTCTCTGCACCTGAAGAGAGAGGATCAAGAAAGGGCCTCTCGAAACAGAACTGTAGTGCTTTTCAATTTTTAATGAACATTCTTAGGTTTTAATCTTTAATGTTTTAATTTTATATATATATATATATATATATATATATATATATATATATATATATATATATATATATATATATATATATATATATATATATATATATACCTTACACTATATACATTTATCTATACAAACTCTTTTCATATACACCTTGTAAGTAAAGTAGTAATTATACATTGCATATGAACTTATGTTTAATTGTTCTTATTATACCTTAGTAAATCTTAGACGTTACTGCATCCACTGTTATATATATATACGTTATTGAAATATGTTTTATTGAAAAGTGGAGCAGTTAAACTGACCCTGTGCACTCATTAAAACCTGTATGTGATCTTTTTATTTTGCTTTGTTTTCGTCTCCTTCCAACTCTGAATGTCTCAATCTGATCCTAGGATCCAAATAATTCCATTTGAATCCATCTTGCATGTTGGCAAAAGTGTATGACAATGCATCAGATAGAGCTCGACTAGATCGCGTAACTGTGGCTATGTGCAATTCATAATGTGATATGCATGGCCATGTATTCATTTGAGGCAAAACTAAAAAACAGAAAATAATAAACTTACAACATCATCCGACCGACAAAAATGCCTAAGGCTATAAGATGTATACAAGTTCATTCACTTCAGTATTTTTCATTGTTATTTTAATTAATCATCAAACATTCCTTCTTGCACGTCCCTAATTTTAAGAGCAATTAAGTTGACTATGCATGCACTCTGCACCATGATGCTTTACATAATCTGACTTTATTCGTCAAAGATGTATTAAGACATAACAAGATCATATTGGTACATATTAATTGTACGTAAGCGGCAGCAAGGATTTCTAAAAAAATCCTTGGTAGCTTTAAGGTTTCTGTGTGGTTTTATGGTCTCAAACGATTTCATGCAAGTATCAAATATTGCACACATGTAAAATGACAGACCAGGAAAAGGTTTAATGTTTCTCGGATCCTGAACTTAAATCTATTGTCAAATGTCCCATAAAAACAATGAAAATTTTCACTTTATTATGCATGTTGTATCTTGTAGTTAGCTAGACATGCCGTAAGCATCTCTGTCTCACTAACGTGTCTGTAACTGTACGATATGCCATTCCACTAAATTGCAGCAACAAAAGTGGGATGAAAGAGGAGGAGAGGCTATAGTATAGAGGCTTTGTGCAGGTCAATGGCTTCATATGAATGCATTTATTTTCTCTATGACTCTAATTATTTTTTTATTTCAGGTTCTCCAAACAACATGAAGGAGAGCAACGCCAATATTGCTCATAAATCATCAACTGCTGGGAAGAGTCAACGAAAAAATGGTACACGTTCAGTATTTTCTCATGTTCAACGAAACATTTTAGAACTGCATTATCAACAACGAGAATACGTGACAAAAGGAGAGCGCTATCATATTGCCATGGCAACAGGAATAAGCGAAGAACAAGTGAAAATCTGGTTTCAAAATCGAAGAACGAAGAAGAAAAAATTGGAAAGAAACAAAATGGCGGCATCAGAGAAGAATAAAGCTGAACATTTTAGTTTAAATATTATGAATTTTCATTAGGAAGGAACAAAATTTTATTTTAAGTGCCACTAACGCAAATTATAATTTTAGGTATGCGAAATATTTGGGTGTTCATGTTGCCTTTGATTGTTGAAAAAATCCACCCAGTTTGTCTACTTTTTCACTACATTAAGTTCATTTGTGTTTTTTGCTGATATAATATCCGGCAACTTTGACAGTGAAAGATGACGTAGTACACATATCAAAAATTATATTTGTGGTAAGTGGTACTTATAAATGACAAAATTGATTAATAGACCAGGATAAACCATGCGTGGTTAAAAATCATTCCATGTATGTGAAATATGTAAATCCAAATAGTAATGAAAATGCTCATAATATGTAATGTTATAATGTACATATATAAAATTATATATAAGCTGCAGGCTACAATATGGTCAGATCTAGAATCGAAATATGGTAACCGTCATCAGATACATGACGACTAGCAATATAGAAAAAATAGAACAAGTGAAGTTGAGTATGGTAGCTAGATAAATGATATTGGAGTGATGGTATTTGGGGGCTATATCATACTTCGCAGAATCGTGGGTTGATCATGCTTGTCAAATACTATTGAGCAAAAATTGAGACAAGAAGGTTATTATATTGTCAGATCCCCTCTAGTACAGGGTGGTAAACTAGCATACACACAAAGGCAGACAGTCAGCTCAAATTGTTTTTGATTTATTGATTGTTGTTTAGTTTTGCGCATGAAAGGCTCATTTATTGAACAGTCTGCACACTGCAAGCCATTCAAGTGAATTATTTTGCTATTACCAGTTGCGTTCCATAAACCTTTTTGAAGGGAGAGGGTGGAAGTCAGTACCGAAATTTTATTGACTGTATGGGTCTGGCCTCTGACAAAAGTGATGGGCGTGGTTCGTCGTATATTTTACGGTAAGAATTTGAAGACTGTGCATAAAGATACAATATTCATCTGTTCTGTGATTTTAACCTGTGTGATCTAAACAGCTAGCACGAACGACACGGGGTCGAATCTATCTCTTTTCGACTTTAAATTTTATTTTGAAACAGTTAACATACAGTTGGTGTTTTCATGGGTATATCAAAGTATTGATTCCAGGCAAGTCTTTACTGGCAAGCAATCTCACGAAATATAAACGAAAACGTACATCAAATTCTATAATTTTGATCTAAGGTATGAGTTACCAACTTAGTTGGTCTGTTGATGATTCTGTATAGGAACGAAATAGAACAATTGAAATTGACCTTGTTTTTTTAGTCCATATCTCAAGATATTTTCATTTTTCAGTTTTTGCTAGTTCTGGGGCCGGTTGTATAAAAATCAGACGGAAGTAAATTATTTATGCAAATTATATTCATAAAATAAACATGTGTGCTAGTTGTATTTATAAACAAGACGCCTGCTCAGGCGTTCACACTGACCTGAAAATGACGACATACGTGCTATGTGGTGCAATAGACAAGGAATACAAATCGTGAACCACAAACGCCAAGCGTGAAAGGCTGATATGCATGTTCCGATTGTGCTCGGCAACTTTTGAGCAACTTTTTGCGTTTGGAGCAACTTTTTTCGGTTCGAGCAACTTCAAGCAACTAGTTTTTCCTTTTTGGGCAATTTTTGAGCAACTTTTCACTAGAATTCAAACTTTACAGTATGAAATGTTTACATGTGATAGACAACTTCATTTTCTTGCTTCTCACGAGCAAAAATCCTGGGTACGAGGTTGCTTCATTTTCTGTGATGTTTTTCTATCTTATTTTTTAATTTTTTTATAACCTTTTTTTTGTTATTTGTAAAACTTTTGTAAAGAAAACGTTTTCTCTTTATAATTCCAAACAATTTATACGGGCCTACGGAAATTGTATAAAGCTTTAATTAACGTATGTCGTGAAATTAAGGTAATGAGTACAAACTTTTTGAATTTTAGTACCAACTCTTTTTATTTCGGGCAACTTTTGAGCAACTTTTATGCTTTTTAGAGAGCAACTTTTTTGTTTTAGAGAGAAACTTTTTAGGATTTTATGAGCACAATCGGGACATGCCTAAAGGCTGAAAGCGTGGTGTGATCCTGAGGAGATGTTTTCGCAATGTCCAATGAAACACAAGTATTACTCACAAATACAAACGTTATCAGTAGACAACCAAGGATGGGTAGTAGCGAAGTAGTTGTAGTTCGCTACTGTAGCGAACTACAATTTTCAAGTAGCCAGTAGTTTTTGACTAGTTTTTTAAAACAGTAGTTGTAGTTATAGCGAACTACATTTTGCCTAAAAGTAGCCAAGTAGTTGTCTACTTTTCAAACGGCGAATCGCTATTCGCTACTTTTTAAAATTGTTAGCAACTTGATAGAATAGCATAATATTGAGACACGATCTGCTTAAAATCAATACTCAATAGTCAATTTGCACTCCTGAACACTGTAGTGCTTACAAAAATGTTGCTTTGTGTTAACTGTTGTCTTTTGCTACTCGTAAGTCGATTTGTTAGGTTACATTACAGCCTGAGTTAATAGTAGATGCTCCAAATACAGTAAAACTAAAAAATATAGATTAGCGAAATAGTTCGCTACATTTTTTAAGCAGTAGCTGTAGCAGTAGCGCCGTGGCCGGGGGGGGGGCAGGGGGGCCATGGCCCCCCTATCTTTGAGACCCGTCGGAAAATTGTCAATGTTGTCGAAAATTGTCGGAAAATTGTCAATGTTGTCGGAAATTGTCAAGGTTGTCGACGGCGGGTGAATATTTAAAATGTTGTCGTCCGGAAAATTTTTTGGTTTGTCGGAAAAATTTTTCGGTTTGTCGGAAAAGTACTGCCCTTGCCCCCCCCCTCCCCCAAAAAACATGGGTCCCACGGCGCCACTGAGCTGTAGTCAGTAGCGAACTACCTTTGTTCAAAAGTAGCAGTAGCTGTAGCTGACTACATATTTTTGAAGTAGCTGTAGTTATAGCGAACTACAAAAATTTTGTAGTCAACCCACCCTTGTAGACAACATTGTTTACATTCCGGTAAGTCCGTAACGTATAAAATTTAATAAAATTCGAAAAACTCGGCGATCCAGATATCGCATTTTCAGAGAGGTTGCACGAAAAAAAAACACACCAAGTCAACTTCCAAGAAAGTGCAGAGTAGGATAAATCCAAAATCCACAGAAAAACGCGGTAAAATTCGTTGACAAATGAAGAAATTGTTTGAGACTGAAATGCATGGTCACTCATTAATTGAATGGCCGCCATCTTGAAAACTGATCTGTATAGCACACTGGAACGACTGGAAACTGAGCCTGCGATGCGCTAACGCAAACTCGATTTCTCAACGACGAAGAAAACAGAAAATTAGGGATTTAAGACACTTGACCTTTCAGGTCAGTGTAATAAAACTTCGCCTTCGGCTCAGTGAATATAGTAGGCTTGTATTCACCGAGCCTGAGGCGACTAACTGTTAAATAGTGGTTAAAACGTAGTCGGTTAAGGGTTTTATAAAACCGGCTCCTGACAAATCGGCAAACTGTAACGGAAAGCAACACAGTAGCATTGCCACGATTACCCCGCGAAATTCCACGAAGACAAGAGAAAGCGGAGATACGTCACAAAACGTCATCAATCTATCATTCTGTTTTTTTCTCCAATTCTTCTCCACATACGTCGTGGAAAGCCTGGGACCGACAAAATTAGTATGTTGCCTCTACGAGGCAGCAATAAACTATAATATCCTGATATATTTCGTACTTTCTCGAATAAACACTTGACAACTTTAAATTAAATAGAAATACCTAAAATCTCTGAGCGTTAAAAAACGACAGGTAGACAACACCTTGTTTTAAAGAGTGCCAACAAAGTTACGTCATCTACTTGTTGCTGATTGGTTCGAATCGCACTATTGTCAATTAATCATATGCGTGAAGTCACGTGTTTGAATTCCAACAACGGTTGGCATAAAAAGGCTCCTAAGAGTCAGAAGGCAAGAATCTGAAACCAAGAATCCAGCATGAGCTCCACCTTTGAATTTATTATATGAATAAAATGTTAAACACGTCCGAATTTATTTATACAATAAATTCGCGACGCATGTTGAATCCCTAACCTTAATTTGACCCTAATCTAAATTTGTAATTGACGACCTTTTTTTCTTCTTTTTAATCTATCCCACGTTGGCGCGGCAATTTTCCGTTTCGTATACCACCACAGCCTGCGCGCAGACTATATATATATATATATGTCATTATATAGTCTGCGCGCAGGCTAATACCACCAGGGTCGCCAGTACAATCAGCGTCATCACTTTTGCTGTGCGAGTGTGCGTCACATCCGGTGAATATGAAATGAGATATTAACCACGCAAAACAAGCGTTTAATTAAATGCGCGTCCCAAGTCACGAAGCAGAGTTAGGCTATATTAAAAAATCATATCGTGATTATCGTCTAGAACTTAAGAAAGCTTTAAAAGCTATGTACACATACGAAACAATATCACGCTAGTCGTTGACCATAACGTAATTACAGTATATCCTGGCTCAGTCGCGCATGTTTAGAGTAGAAGCATTTATTTCAACACGATTAAATTCACAGCATAGCTGATGTGGTCGTGCATTTACATAGTTAACATATCTGTACACAAACTGTTCTATTTAACTGTCACTATAACAGTACATTACACTATAATATCCTGTTCTACAATAATAATATCTTACAAATGCTATATCACTTATGATAACAGGTTCTTAATTACTAGTTTAAACCTTTTAATGTCCTCTATTGCTCTTGTATTGTTATCTAGGGAATTCCATAACACTGCTGCTTGATACGAAATTGATTTCTTTAAAAAATCAGTCTTCGGTTTTGGAAGAGCAACAGTCAATTTTCTTCTTAGATTATAATTACTAAAATATTTTGTGAATAATGACTGTAATGGAATAGGGGAGTAATCATAATAACAATTTTGTGCTAAAAATAACAATCTCTGAGAATATAACTTCTCCAGAGGTTTCCAATTTGTTTGGGCCAGAACATCCTTTGTTGGTGTTTGTAGGTCCAACTTGTGAATCACCTTGGCCGCCCGTACGTGTATACGCTCTAGTTCATCAAATATGGTTTTTCCACATGATCCCCATATTACGAGCCCATATGTGATTGAGGGTAATATAACTTTAAAGTAAAAATCAGCCCCTGCCTTTATTGGTAAAAAAAAAAAGGACTTTAAAAGATTAAGTTTTTGTGCGAATGACTTAGTTAGTTGGGTTACATGAGCTTTCCACTTTAATTTACTATCTATTTCAATTCCTAAACATCTGGAAGACTCCACTTCTTTGAGGTAAGTGTTTCCTAATTTAATACCTTGCAATGGCCCCACGAATTTACCTCGCTTAAGTATCATGAATTCAGTTTTGTCCGGGTGTGGTGTTAAAAAGTTATTGCAACACCACTCATGTAGCTTACATAGAACTCTACTGAGTGTTGTGGCAACAGAATCATGAGTTGGGCCAATTACATATATGGTAGTGTCGTCAGCATACATGTAGATATCACCTTCATCATCATCACAGATTTCAGGCAGGTCGTTGTAGTAGAGAGAGAACAGAATAGGGCCAAGTACCGATCCTTGGGGAACACCATATTTAACTGGCATGGACTGTGATTGGCACCCATTTAAGACCGTCATTTGCGAACGATCAGACAAGTAGTCAGCAATGAGGCGCCAAGTTTATCACCAAATATTGTATGTGTTTGGTGGCCATCTTGTTTTGTGCAAATACTGTGGACGGCCGGATTTCCATTATAAATTATTCAACTGTGAAATGTATGCCATGTAGAATAAACGCAAGTCGGAAATACTCTTAAAAAATCTCTAGCATATTACCCGAATTCTGTAGCTACATGTAATTTGCTGATTATTGCAGGGGATATAGAAAGCAATCCTGGCCCTAATTGCACTAGCAGCAATACGGATACGAACAGGGTAAAAATAAAGACAGTACTGTATTGCTTGGAGTTTTCTGTATCAGCCAGATTTTGACTATCTTTCAAAAAAAAACCTGTTTGAATTGAAAAATTTGAATCAGTTCTAGCTGCAGTTCACTTGAAATGGGACGATATTATGATAATTGTTGGTGATAGTAATATCGACTTGTGTAGTTCTTCAAATATAGGAGAAAAATATCAGGCAGTTTTACTCGCATTCAATCTCACCCAGCATGTCACAGCACCAACTCGTAAAGGAAAATGTCTCGTTGATCATATCACAACAAATATTCCACACAATGTTATAGCTACGGGTGTTTTAGCTACACCGGAAATTAGTGATCACAATATGCCGTATCTTATTGTAAACGCGAGATTAAACAGATTCGAACCAAGATTTAAATATATTCGCTCGGAGAGATTATTTAGCCCAGAAGCATTTCTACAAGATATTAGTGAACTGCCATTTTCAACCGTGTATGCTGTTGACGATATAGATGAGATAATCGATATATTTAATGAATTACTACGTAGCTGTATTGATCGACACGCCTCTATAGTGCGTTGTAAGTTAACCCGTCCTCCCGCTCCTTGGCTTCAAGATGTCGACATCCAAAATCTGCAAAAACGTCGGGATGCTCTGAGGTTTATTGCCCATCAAACGCAGTTAGAGTCAGACTGATCAATTTATCGCTTTGTTTGGAATAAGATTAAATCGGCTATTAAGACAGCAAAACATAATTTCTATAGGAAAGCTCTCTCATCTAAATGCTCGAAAACGTATGGTCAGTAATTCATAAAATACTTAACCCAAATCCCAAACGAATAAGATCCGATCCAGCGGAGCTTAATAATTTCTTCGTGTCTACAACACCAGCGCACTTTTGGAGTTGACTCTGGATCCGGCAGACATTGACCAGACATTGATCAGACATTGACCCAGGATCGGACATTGTTAGCTTTTTAGAGTCTCTACCCCGAGATAGAAGTGATAATGGCTTTAAGTTGAAACCAGTAACCTTCAACGATGTTACGGCATTGTTGTGGCATTTGTAAAATGGCGGATTACAGTCGGGGTGTGCAATGCTCTGATTAAATAGCTTATCTCGTCAACCTAGGCACTCAACTATTTCTTTCAATATCTAAAATCGTTCGTATAAAGTCATATTGTTTCACTATTATTCGAATTTAAAACGAATCGTTGTACTTTAGTACTTTTTTTCTCGATTATTCGTATAAGTTGACTCGACCGAGCGCAATGGCGGCCACAAGACAATCAAAGCAACAGATTACAGATTTATTAATGAACGATAAAAGCATTCTAAATTCGATTGCTGAGGTAGTCTCCTTAACCATTATTGACAAATTATCGCACAGCGAAGCAACAATTCAAAAGGTTGCTGTTAATATTGTCCAGAACACTGAATTTGTAAAGTCCGTCACGAGCAAACTTGGCAATCAAAAGGACGCCATCAAGCAAGAGCTATGTGAGTCAATTTTGTTTGATAGCAGTGAGGACAGGAATAAGATAAAGCAGCTTGAGGAGCTCTGCAATGAATTGCAAAGAAAAAACAAAGATTTAGAGTGGGAATTCGAAAGTCTCGAACAGTATGGTCGACGTAACTGCTTACTCATACATGGAGTTGCTGAACGGTCAAATGAATTGACAGAGAATACGGATGCCATATTATTATTATTAAAACTATTAATAAACTTATTTACAAACAATAACCCTTCAGCCTACGCTGCTTTTAAAGGGGTTGTTTACATAAAAGAAAGTACAAAATAAATATTTACAAAATAGTATAAATATTTACAAAATAGTGTAATTGACTAGGAGTCTTTACAATTGGATATTTTATCAACGTAGGTGATTGTTGAGCTTAGTTTTAAAAGAATGTATCGTCAACTGTTCATGAACGTCTAAGATTTCGTTAGGTAATGAGTTCCAGGCGGAAGCTCCTCGATATGAAAATGACTTTTTCATAAATGATCTATTAGGTTTATCGAGAGTTAGTTTCCGCCTGTTGCTCCGCATGTGGTGACTTCTATTATCACAGTAGGAGAACATATTACAGATGCACTCCGGCGCTATACCTCCGATAGCCTTAAACGTAATTAGAAATTCTCTTTTTTTAAGAATGTTATCTATTGGATGCCAACCTAGACTCTGGAGGATTGTTTTTGATCTTGTTTCATAGTTTAATCCAGTAATTATACGAGCGGCTCGCTTTTGTAATTTATAAAGTTTTTCCAAATTTGTTTTGTTTCAATCGTTCCAAACTGTCGAACAGTATGTAAAGTAAGGAACTACCAGGGAATTGTAAATACGGAGTAAGTCGTAAGGTACGTGTGGTTTTGCCTTTCTAAGCAGAGCTATTGCACTTGAAAGTTTTTTGCATTGCTCATTAATGTGTTCAGTCCACCTTAGTTCGTTATCAATTGTAATACCTAAGGGTTTTTTTTGCTTAACTTGTTTAATAATGGATCCGTTTATATGTATACGAATATCAGTGCGAAATTGATTAAGTTTTCTTTTTGAGGCTATTATCATAAATTCTGTTTTGTCTGTGTTCAATGTCAACCTATTTGCTTCTAACCAGTCGTTAACATTGGATAAGTCAGCGTTTAGTTTGTGCTCGATTTCGGCTGGGGTCCTTCCTGTGCATGATAGATTGGTGTCATCAGCAAACATGGATGCTTGTGTGTACTCAAGGCACATTGGTAAATCATTTATGTACAATGAGAATAGCAATGGTCCCAGATTGGACCCCTGTGGTACTCTACATTGAACTGTTTCTTGGCCTGACTTGTTATTATTAATGACACAAACTTGTTTTCTGTTGTTTAAGTAAGATGCTAGTAATTTTAGAGGAGTACCCTTTATACCGTATTGGTATAGCTTTTGTAGGAGAATAGAATGATCAACCGTGTCAAACGCTTTTTTAAGATCCAAAAATAGCACTCCATTTGCCATTCCTTTATCCATGTTGAGTAGCCATTGATCTGTGCATTTTAATAGGGCAGTTTCTGTAGAATGATTTGGTCTAAAGCCAAATTGCTGTTTACAAATGATGTCGTTGTCATTGATATATGAACTTAATTGGTCGTATATAATCTTTTCAAGGATTTTGGCAACAGTAGGAATTACAGATATAGGCCGGTAGTTTCCGCATTCCGCCTTGTCACCTTCTTTATGAATAGGTATTATTTTAGCAAGTTTTAAATCATCTGGGAAAATGCCAGTGCCCAGTACAAGGTTAAAGATATGTAGTAAGGAGTCGTGAATGGCATCTCCTGCTAGTTTAATTAGTTTAATTGGTATTTTGTCTAGACCTGGGGCCTTGTTTAAGTTAGTTTTCCCAATTGTTTGAATTAATTCTGTCGTTGTTATTGTTCTTAAGTTAAATTCAGATCTACAAGGCTGAATAGGTTGTATAGGGTCTATGTCTGTAGGAGAAATAACGGAAGCAAGTTTGGGTCCAATTTCTACAAAGTAGTTATTAATTGTATTTGCTATGTTGATATCACCTGTAATATTTTGGTCTCCAAATTTAATGTTATTGATCGTCTGAGTTTTGACCGTTTTGTGGTTTAGCAGTTTGTTTATGTGAATCCAGTTTTCTTTGCAATTTTTGCTGTTTTCGAGATTGGTTCTAAAGTAGTGACTTTTGCATTGCTAATAAGTTTAGTTACTTTGTTTTTACATTTTTTGTATGAACTATGAAAGGCAGAGGAATTTAACATGACTGCTTTCTTTTTTAAGTAGTCTCTGTGAAAGCTCAGTTTTTTAATTTCATCAGTCATCCACGGTTGTCGGTCACTTCTCACTTTTCTCAATCGTATAGGAGCATTTATATCAGCTATCAGTAGAAAAATTCTGTTCCATTCCTGTAGGGCCGTATTTGGATCTGAATGTTCATTAATATGTAGTAAAGCTTGTTTTAAATCGTTTTGGAATTTCGCATTACTTAGTTTATGGTATTGCCTTGTTTCAATAATTTTGGGTTTTTGTTTACATATTCCGACCTTTCTACAAGTGTAGACTAGGTTGTGGTCGCTTATACCTAGCTCAACAACGTCCGTTGTAGCGGTTTTTGGGTCGTCAGTTTTACAAATTATTAAATCTAAGAGCGTCTTCGTTGATTCTGTTGTTCTAGTAGGCTTTTTAATAAGTTGAGACAATTGATATGTGTTTAGTAATTCTTTAAGCCTTTTTGCCTTACTATTCTCGGTCTCACTGGGCATTAAATCTATATTAAAGTCTCCAGTTATTATAATTTCTTTATTTTCTGTGTCTATGTTTTGAAGAAAGATTTCAAAAGAGTCGAGAATCTCAGAATTGGAGTTTGGTGGTCGGTACCACGTCGAAATGAGTATTGGCTTGGCATTCGGCTTTCTTACTTCGATACATACTGCCTCTACATTTTCAGGGATTATTGTTGACCTCTCCACGTATGGTATGGTATTACGTATATATATTGCTACACCCCCACCGCGTCTATTTCTGTCACGTCTTGTTAAGTCGTATCCCTGAAGTCCTATTTCTGAGTTCTTAATTGTTTTGTCAATTCTTGTTTCATTAATACATAGTATGTCAAAGTTCATTTCTGTTATGAGAATCCTGAGTTCGTCAATATGTTTAGTCAGACTGGTAATATTTAACTGCGCAATTGAAAAGCCCTTAAGTTTTGGATATAGTTTGCTTTGGTTATCCGTTGATACTGCACCGGAGTTTCTAATAGGTTCTTGCATCATTAGGTTTTGTGTATTAACATTTAGTCAATTTTGATTACTTACATACAGTTTGAAGTTCTTAGCTAGGACCGTCGAACCTCTTGGGTTTAAGTGGAGTCCATAGTTATTTAAATGATCTTTCTTTATATTAGAGTTCTTAATTAACCCCCAATTTCGCTCAGTACAAAGGCAAAATATGACAAAGAGCTCGAATTAACTTCGAATTAACTTCGCATCCTTTCCCATTTTCCACTTGTTTCTGCTTCGGCTTTAATAATCAACAAAATATCTCCTTCCTTGGGACAAACTGCAGTTGACTTGATGTTGGTCTGATGACGCTGCCGTAAACTCGTCAGGTACTCTCTTTGCCATCGTCTCCATAGATGGTTCTTTACGCTTTGTAAGTACCTTGCCCTTTTTCGTAGATCATCGTCCTCAATATGATAACATTCTAGCTCCAGCACAACATTCGACTATTGTAACACAAACGAATTTGGTGTAAGAATAGGAAATTCAATGTCATCCTCTAAGTAGCTTAGTGGCCGGTTATTCATACAGATTTCTACATCTAGAACAACGTCCGACAGCTCTTCAAATGTCAAAAGTTCTTTGCCAATAACCTTGTAAAAAGCACATTTGAAAATTCCGATTAATCGTTCAAATTGTCCGCCCCACCAGGGCCCGTGCACGTGACAAATTGAATCCCCACTTGATCTCATACTTGCTCAGTTCACTGTGGAATTTCTCATCTTTCATCACATTGTTTAACCATGACGCAGCTGCTTGGAACGTCTTGGCATTGTCCGAGTAGATAAGAGAAGGCGACCTCGTCTGGCAATTAGTCTTTTGAGACTTAGAAGGAAAAGGGTTGTTTCAAGACTTTTCAGAACTTCTAGGTAAACTCCTCGAGTCAAACTACGTGTAAATAGGACTAGGGACGCTTTCTCTTCTTGGGTTTTCTTAACTCTATATGTGATTGGGCCGGCGAAATCGACTCCAATAACTTTATAAGGAGTAGCAGTCCCTTCCGTTCGCGTTGTTGGTAATGGTATACACGCAGGTGTTGGAGCTTGATAAGCAGGGCCGGAGATACGGGGGGTTTGGGGGGTGTGACACCCCCCAGAAATTTTATTCAGTCGGCAGGACTGCTATTTGGGTTAAATATTTCCGCGCAAAGGGCAAGATATTTGGGTTTTTTGGGTAAATTTCCGAATTTTGGTATGAAAAATTGAGGTAAAGTCACTGGAAAGCATTTGCAGCATTCACAATAATTATAGTAAATTAAGCATAGTTTTTCATCCCATGATAATTTTTTTTAGGAAATAAGGATATTTAATTTCTGCCATGTATATTAGTTATTTTATGCATAATTAGCAATTTACCTGGGGTGATGAATGGTCATTTTCTTGTAAAATATTATACTTACACAAATTTTTCCTTCCAATAACCACCCCTAAAAGCAACCCTTCTACACACTATAAGCACTTCAGAAAGGTTGTCGCTTCTGCTTTTCGGAAGTTAGAGCTATGTTTCAGGACTTTCGTCCTGGATTCAGGTTTTGGCACATATGCCATGTTGACCGCCATGGTCATTTTACCCTAAAACAGTTGAGATTACCTGTGGTAAATGAAACGCATACAAAGTCCTATACATGTCCTAGAGACCTAGACTTTATGGTCAGTGACTACGATCTGGCAGCCAAGTAGGACCCTTTAACCAGAGCTTTGTGAGTTGACCACCCCTGCTTCCGAGGTCAGCAGAGTTCTCCGTGGTCGGTACATAATGCCACTCGATTCCTACAGCATATCAAATCTTTGCTACGATCGCGACCTGCTTATACTGACCTTTTCTTTTGATCCACCATAAAGATACTGTGCTATCTGACCAGCAGTGCTTCTCGTGTGGAATATGACAAAAAGCTCTGCTTGTATTGTTGACCAAATTGGTTACCATGTGGCATGCAACAAGTTCTAACCTTGGTATGGTCAGTCGTTTCTTCGCAAGTCTTGCTTTCGCAGCTAGTAACTCTCGAGTAACACCAGACGTCCGCTAAGTACATTATAGGAATAAAGGCGTTTTTCAGGACTGCCTAGGGTCACTCTTTGTTTTTGAGGGTTTGTTTATGAGGTCAATCCTTTTTACCCCTAATTGTACCGTGGTTTTGCAAAGAAGTAACCGCCATTACAGGACAAATGGTGTAAGGCTTCATATGATTACAATAAAGTTTTGAAAATTCGATGAGTATATAGATTGAATTAATTGACAAGTGAGAGTTTACTAAATAGCCGGCTGTATAAACACTTCGAATATTGTTTGCATGAATTGAAATTTTTAATTTGTGTAAGCTCTAACACCATTGACATGCACAGTGAAACCAACATGGTATAAAGCTCACAGGTGAGCACAATTTGAGACCGATATTGAGGTAACGCTAGGAAAACAGTTCAAACGCACGTAGAAAAGGGTCGTTCAGATTAGATTACCAATTTGCCAATAGCCTGCGTGCAGGCCCAAGGGAACTGATAGTGGGCCTGCACCATCACCATGTTTTCGATTTTCGCCGGCCGAACCGCCGGCTAAATTCCCATTGGCTAGCTGAGGCGATCGGTAATTAATTAACCTAGCCCGCGTGCAAGCCCCAGGGAACAGTGATTCATCACAAAGGCATAGACAAAGGCTCTCGATAAGCTTAAAATTTGAAAATTGATCACTTTTTTCGATTACAAATGGAACAAGAACAGACTGTTTATTGTTTACTTGAAGAAAGACATGTTTTTGCCGTTATGCCAATGGGGATTGCTTGTCGTGAGGTGTTGGAATAGCAAATTACGACTGGGGTAAACTATAGCAACCTTTACTTGAGTTTCATTATTTCAAACAGACTTCAGTTGATACGTTATGTGTTCTCACTTCCCCAAGAAAATTATCTTTTGGGGTTGATGTTGAGATGCAGTTGCATGTAAGGACTGTAAGCCTACGCGATTTACAAGGCTTCGCTGAGAGAGCGAAACAGAAGGCGGTATTAAATTGCCGTTTGCTGAAACGAAACGATCTGGACTCGGAACGCTCTCTTCTTCTGTAGAGTTCTTTACCAAATGAAATAAATTTCGTACTTTCCGCCGCCAACAAGAATTGCACACACGATCTGATAAGTGAGACAATTTATTTATAACAATGCCAATGCAGGGCCGTAGGAAGCTCTTTTCGATTGGGGGGGCTGAAAGCGAGGGCCGAAGGCCCGAGGAAATTTTTAAATTTAGAGTCTCTAAAATGCCATTTCCTGGACTTTGGGGGAAGATTTAACAAAATTCTGATAGTCAGAAAACAGCGTTTTAGTATGTCGAAATTTACAGGAAAGTATGGGCCAGACTGTAGTATTATAAATGCGCGGCGGGAATTTTCGTCGTAAATGGCAGTTGCGCGGAAATGAAGGCAGAACATTTGAGAAAATTTCGAAAATCTGGAGTCTCTAGATGGTCTGAAATGGCATTTTCAGAGTTTTCTTTCGCAAGACCCAACACGCAAAAGACAAAATAAATCATTAGTTCAACAAAAATGTGCAGATTTTGTGGGATTTTCTTGAAAATGCGCGACAGAAATTCAGCTAAAATTTCTACGCGAGGAACGATCTGGAGTATGAGTAATATCTTCATTCTTTGCAGTTTGTCACAGATTAAATGATAAAGTTTGCATGATTTTGAAAAAAGAATGATTATTAGCAAATTATTGGGGGGGCTGCAGCCCCCCCAGCCCCCCCCGGTTGCTACGGCCCTGCAATGGCGACAGCGAAGCACACATAATATAAATCCTAATGTGGTCGCCCGACTTCCCTCATGATTTGAAGTTTGAGACTGGTTTTCTGTTGAAATTCGTCCTAATTTGCCTGTTCCGATTTTAGTTGAAAATGAGCACTTGCAAATTTGGCAATTACTGACTGCGTTGCTTGCTTTTTTGGAGTTAAAACGCATCCATTTACACATTGTTTATTAGTGTTCTGAATAAGCAGAGAAAACCCCGCAACATTTTAATGCGAGTTTGTTTGTTAATAGTTGGGTGCTGTCATTGGTTCTTTTTTGACAATTGACGCGCGAATGGGGCGTGTTATGAAAAGGGGCGTTTTACAAAATACCGGGCGATGGTTGCAGGCCCACTATCAGTTCCCTTGGGCCTGCACGCAGGCTAATTTGCCAACGGCAACCGCGAAATAAATAGATCACATACTCGAATGTAATCGTATAATAACCAAAACTTGCAATATGAACGCGAAACTATAACGTGTAACGTGAAACGTGAAACGTGGTTCGATTAAATGGAAATGAATATAAACCTAAATTAATGCTAAATACTTAACTTAGCACTAACGCAACTAAACAATAAACTACAGTATACAAATGAATTGCCACTTACAGATGTTTCCCCAGTAGCTCTTTAACTTTAAACGTAAAAGTAGCTCTTTAACTTTAAACGTAAATTATCAAAAACGTAATAACTACATCTTTAAAAGAAAACATAAGTTTCCTGTGATAAGATAGTCGACCATAAATTTCCTGTGATAAGCACAGTTGTCATTAAACAAATTGACACTTCCAATCCTACAATTTGTGACTGCATAATGATCCGTTACAATCATAATTACAATTATAAAATTAGTTACATTTTCTCGGCACGGGGGCGGGGGCAGTTGTGTATTATGTTTGACTTTAAAATCTTATTTACTATTATATTTATTATAATAAGTGATGAAATATTTCAATTGTCTCATGTCATCTTCATTATTCAGTTCCTTTCAACATAATACAAAATGTGAATCAACTTTTTTCGCAGATACATCTACGCGTCGCGTACCCATACCTAATTTTAGTGTGCAGTGATAACCAATTTGTGCAGTGATAAAAGTAAAATGTGCAGTGATAAAATGTAAAATGTGCAGTGATAAAATTTGCTTTGATAAGTTGTTAATTAACACAAGAAAATGATTTAATTGAAATTGAAATGATGACTGCCAAATTATCGAATTA